AGCATGAGTCCTTCCGTGCTTCCGCGATTCCATGTTTCCGCGCTTCTGCGGCTCCGGGCTTCTCGATAATGGGCGCCTCGGACGGGACGGCCTACGTAGGTCTTTTGTCTTGCGCGTCCGCTGTCTGATGCTGGCACTTCGACTCTTACACACCCAGCTCATCCTCGGTCTTTCGTTCCCATACACTCGCGTCTCGAAGCCCCCCTCTTCTCCACGAGCAGCCTGGTGACCACCCGTGAACAAGTCATCCCTGACCGACCCTGAGCAGACCCAATGGAGATGCAGTCCTCCTACAGAAAGAAGCACCCACCCCCCGCTTCTCTTCTCCATCCAATCACACTCGCGTCCACGTTTCATCTCGCCGCTTCCCCAGCAACACCGACCAATCCGAACACCCCTTACCCCAGAAGCCCGCGCGCGCGGTTCCCGAACTCTATCACCTTCTCTCTCTCTCTCCCCCGCGCGGGTATACGTTCAGCACAATGAACGCCCTGCCGTCCCCGCAGATTCGTGCCCCGTGTATGGCTCCGCGTATGCACACTGATGGCTCCGCGTATGCACACTTATGGCTCCGCGTATGCACACTTATGGTTCCGCGTCCCCACCCGCCACCCGCCCTATAGTGGTATAGCGTTAGAGTTTCGGCGACCAATCGAAGTCGAAGTCGAAGCACTGGTAAAGAAGGCCTAGGATGCTGGCGACGTGCAGGCCGCTCGCATTGTCTTTCGCTGCTGCGGTGACGGTGCGTGCCATTGCAAATTCCGATCGAACGAGAATAGGCTTGAGCTTCTGGTGTAGAGACTATGGAACTAAGGAGGTGGGTGTCACGCTCTGGATCTGGTGCGCCTTTCCCTCCGGCTCTCCCGCGCATCGCGCTGACTGACGCCACGTAGTACCGATTCGTACTAGGAACCCAGCGCAGAAAGATCGGCCGCGCTGCCGCCGCTCTATTGTGACATTGATATGCCGCCACCCGGGCCTCAGGAACCAGTGCCTCGGGGCGTTCTTGCTGGATCTCTGCGACAGAGTGGCAGGCCCGTGGTGTGCTCGTAGACGCGTGCTCACGGCTTTCGTTTTTGGAATGGTTTGCTCCGGAGCAGTACCGTTTGTCGCATTTGGGTGTTTGCAAGCCGCTCTTGGCCCCGTGGCTCTCATTGGGTGCGGCCGCTATTGGTGCCGCATCATGTCTCGATTCTACTTTCGGTCTAACCATCTTGAATATCGTTTCACAGACTTCGAGACCGTGTCGCGGATACGAAACTCGTCGGAAATCGGGATGCCCGTTTGCAGGTTCATTATACCCTGTGCACATACACTCAAACTTCTATTGGGACGTTTGGTCATCCGCGCAGTCACAAATGCAAGTTACTATCGGCCCATCCCTAGCGTCGTGCATCTTGTAATACAGCCTCAAAGGACCCTTGCGTGCAACACGCTGGTAATAGTATCGCTGTCACCGCCGCGCTATCAGCCGAAATTGTCGTCACGGTTTCAATCCTGACGGCGCATACACTCCGAATTCTCTCCATCACGACAGCCGTCTATCACCTCCACACCTATCACATCGTACCTGCGCCCCCGATCCGCCTCCGCATCTGCCCATCACCATCAACGCTTGTCTGTTTGCCTCTCTCACCTATCGTGCCTTCATCTCGCCGGCATCCCTGCGTCCTCGTCCCTGCTGCCATCAACTGCCACCCGCCAACTGCCAACCGTACGCGTCAACCGTCAACGAAGCTTCGTCTCCCACCTCTCGTCGGCAGATCGCCCTTGACGCTACTCGCACTAGTGCCACCTGATCAATCCAAGGAACATCGATATCGGCTATTCCTCGTCCGTCTTGGCCTCGGCCTCGGCTTCATACCGGCGATACAGTCGTGCCTTGAGCGGCGGCGGTATTGGTGGTGGTGCCACTTCGGGCTGGCACGTTCGCACTCGCCTCGCTAGGCACTCATTGGGACTGAATACTGCATTCATGCGCCGATGCTCGTCAGTGGGGTACATGGCCATGGGGACCTCGGGCGGGGCGGGCCTGCGTCCTGAGGTGCGGCGCGGGGAGATGCGAAAGTATGCGTTGGTGCCATGCGGTGGGGCCAGGGGTGGCTTTTGTGGTAGCGTGTAGGCGCGCTGTTACGCAAGCTCAAATATAAACTCCCTAGAAGGCTTGGAATACAAAGCCATGTATGTCTGGCATGAATGCGGCTGGTTCGGGTTGGGTTGGGTTGGAAGGGAGTGGCCGGCGGCTGTCAGCTGATTCTTCTACTTCCCAGTGAAAGAAGGTCGTTCTTGACGAGACGAGGCTCGGAATTCTGTCAGTGCTTATTCTATCATTCATATACCTAGAACCTAGCATGCCTCTCAACTATCTATTCAATGGCTGGAGGCATTGAAGCCGCATACAATTCGGGTTGGGCTGAGTTGTGCCGAAGCGGCTGGTCCTTCTGCTTCCAAGTAAAGCGAGAAAGAAGATTATCCCCGAAGCGACAACGTTGAAGAGTCTCGGAACTCTGCACTTCAATTGAAGGATGTTCGCGGAACAGAGGCGCTGCTGCCGCTGGGGAATCGAAATCAGCCAACGCCTCGAGGCTACGCCGAACCCAGGAAGACAGCTTCCCTGCGAGCATCGGAGGCAGATTCAATTCAGGCTCGCATCAGATATCGGGCGTCGGGCCTTCTCAAAGGACGATGAGGGACCACAGGTGCCGTTGCTGCTGCTGCTGCGGAATCGAAAACAGCCAACGCCTCGAGGCTACGCCGCACGGAAGATGCAGACAGCTTCTGAACTCGAGCGACAGATCCAATCCGCGCTTGGAACACCGAAGATCCGCATCGAGTATCGGGCGTCGAGTATCGGGCGTTGGGTGTCGGGCCTTCGGCTTCGATTCGAGCTGCTTACGTGCCATCACTTCGGACTCGGCGCGGAATGCCTTCCGTCCGTTCGTTTATGCCAGATGGGTCGAGATGGGTCGAGTGTTTGTGCGGAAGCTTTTGTCTTCGATTGTTCGATTGTTTGTGCTGGGAAGCTGGTGTTTTGGTCTTTTGGAAGCGAGGATGGGATGGCGCGTCGCTGTGATGGAAGACGAACCACGGATTACGGATTACGGATGTACGGGTTGTGTGCTTTGGCTGGAGTTGAAGTGGACTGCCAGGAATGCTGCTGGTGCAAGGGGAAAATCTGCGGGATCAAGGTACGAGTAAATTTCCTGTGAGCCTCCGTACACATGCCGGCATGAACTTCATCCCGGACTGACATATTCTATCGCAGTGCCAACGACCTCGTCTGCTAACAAAGAAGCAGGATAAAGGGAAGCTTCATTTCCGGCCGCACGTCAGTCTGCGGCATGTCGTACTCCCCACCGCCGGGGTGGACCGTCGCACAGAACCCCGGGACCAACTATTCTACGCATGTTCCAGACAAGTCCGAGCGTTTGTACGGAAGCCTTTGTTTATGCTGGGAAGCTGATCATTTGGAAGCGAGGATAGGATGGTCCATCACGGATCACGGAATCACGGACGTGCGGGGTATGAGTTCCGAACTCAGTGGAATAGAATCGCAAGGCAAGCATTGAAGCTGGTGCGGGCAGAAGAAGCCATGAGACGAAGTTACGATGCACTTAGCTTTGCTGTGCAGGCGCGTTCACAGCTAACAATACCGCCTACTAGCAATATAGAACCAAGATCAAAGGAACCTTCATCTTCATCTCCGTCTGCGTGCCGCACTGTGGCGCCGGCCCGCCATCTTCACCACCGGGAGTATACCATCAACTCCGGACGCCACCTCCTCCAGCCAAGTCCACCTACGATCTAGATCCCAGATCCGCGCGCGCTGATCGACATCCACAACCACTTGGAATTCGATGTCATAGTCAACGCCGAAGATCCACACCAAACCCCACGAAGCACGAAGCGCGAAGCAAGATCCACGCGCCGCCGCGCTGGCTGCAAAACCAGTGACACAAACTATCGACACATCGAAGCACGCGCGCACTCAGCGCCCATCGGCGCACTCAGGAGGCTCGGAGAATCTCCGCGATCGCGGTCCCTAGCTAGCGCCGGGCTCTGACATGTGCATGGAAGGCAACGCCATTACCATCTCAGGGTGGCAGACCGCGTCTGTTTCTGTCCAGTGACCGTGGCGCGCCGTCATTGTCACGCTGCTGGGCGCTTCGGTGTCACCAGCGCCCTCGTCATCGAGTCGGCGCGTCGACGTCAGAATCTGAATCGGGAGCTCGCGGGCTGTCAGTACACAGTAAACAGAGAACAGTAAACAGAGAACAGTAAACAGGAATTGCTTACTCGACGCCTGACAAGTACTTGACACTCGGCGAGCTTGGGGCCTTGGGCGACTCAGGGGCCCAGGCTGCGCCCCTTGGGGTATACAACGTAATGGATAGCAGGAGCGTCATGCTCGGGGTTCTGTTCGCTGGAGTGTGTACATGTATAGGATTGCGCAGCTGGTGTTGAGATTGGCTATGTTTGCTTACAGGCTGCATCTCGCGCATATAGCATCGTTTATTTTTGAGAGTGACGACCGATTAGCACAACAGCGCTGAGCCCGTCCGTGCGATGGAAAAAAAAAATACCTAGAATAACTGCACGTTCAAGTCGTTCAAAACAACACGTTCATCACCCGAACTCGAAGTCGAATTGGAAGATCTGCCACGAGCGCACCAGTCCAAGCGCCGAGCACTGAAGCTGAAGCTGAGCAAGCGAAGGGAAGAGAGAGGAAGGCAAGGTGCGGCAGTGTCGCTAGCGCCATCCTCGAGATCCTAAGCGCCCCACTCGCCGCGCTGCGCCGCGCCGCATCCCGGGCCCTCGACCACGCCCATGCAGCACGCCCACCGATCCCACCACCACCCCACTCTCACCACCAAGATCGAGCGCCCAAGAGCCCACCGCCGCGAATGAAGTCCTGCGAAAAAAAAAGTCGAGCAAAATGAACCGGAGAGGCGAGAAAATAAAGGGAGCCACAAGAGAGCAAAAGGCTAAAAGAAAAAGAGTGGTTCAACCCAGGATCGAACTGGGAACCTTCTGTGCACGACGAGTACATGTGCTGTATTGGGCATTGGGCCGTGTCGCAGACTCGCATGTGAGACAGAAATCATAACCATTAGACCATTGAACCGGTGCTCTCTTGTCTTTTGCTTTTGCTTGGTCTGTGGACGTGCTCGTGTGGGATTGGCGGAGGGCAGTCCGAAAGAGAGCCGGTGAAAGCAAGTCGGGAAGGGAAAGAGAAGAGGGAAGAGGAAACGGAAGGAGAGAACAGCGAGCAGCAAAGGAAGAAGGAAAAAGAGTGGTTCAACCCAGGATCGAACTGGGAACCTTCTGTGCGCCGCAACGCGGGTGATGTTATTGTGAGACAGAAATCATAACCATTAGACCATTGAACCGGTGTTCAGCTTTATTCCGCTGGAGTCCTCGGTGGCGATGGCGCGGGGTTGGGTTGGCGTCGAGCCGAGTTCTGGAGGGCGACTCGGAGTGAGGAATGATAAGGGGAACGAGAGCAGGTAATTAGCCGAACAATAAAATAAAATAATACTACCACAAATCTATCTGCACGCACAACGACGACCACAAACTCCAAACTCAGAAAAAAAAAAGAAAAAAGAAAAGAAAAAGGGGTATAAATCGAATGCAATACACCATTCCCATTACACATACACATACACCGTAACCATATCGGTACCCACAACCATACACCACAACCACAACCGTACACTATACCACAACCACAACCACGACCACCCGACGCCAGGTACAGTACAAACACATACATCGCGCCAGCCTAGGCCTCAAGATACAATCACAACACAACACGCCAAAACCCAGTCCCAAAACCCACATGCGCGTCCACACTCTACATCGCCCTCCCGACCCCCTCCTCCTCCCCACTCCCCCCCTCCCTCTCCTGCTCCCCCTCCCCTCCCTCCCCACCGCCACCCTCCCTCAACACGACCCCCCGCACCCACCGCAGCACCCGCCAGCAATCCGCCCACTCGCTCCCCAGGCCCAGACTGAGCCTCACAACGCCGAGCTCGCGCCCCGCGCGCGCCTCGAGCGCCGCGAGCGTGTCGCCCGGCGCGAGCGCGGCCATGTACGGCTGCAGCGCGAGCAGCGCGGCGGCCCCGCCCGGGTTGCACATGCAGCCCGTGCGCAGCGCGATGTGTGTGCGCGCGGCGTGCGTGGAGAGCTGCGTGAGCGGCAGCTGCGTGTTGGTTGCCTGTGTTCGACGGCGTGTGTGTGTTAGCTTGGGTGTTATGTCTCGGAGGAAGGAAGGAGGGAAGGAAGGAAGGAAGGAAGAAGGGGACGCACGTCGTAGAACAAACACGCCACGACCCCGCCCGCGCCCATCTCCTCCTCGTCCTCCGGCTCCGCTCCCGCACTTTGATGCATATGCGCAAACTCCCCTCCACCCGCACCAGCCCCCGAGCGCCGCGGGACGACGGACAGCACGCGGCACGCGCGCACGCCGTTCGGGTGGCGCAGCGCAGCGAGCTCGGCCGCGAGGTAGTCCGTGAGCGCGGCGATGCGCGCGGGCAGCAGCGGGAGGTACGCGCTCAGGAAGCGCAGGCCCGTCGTGATCGCCGGCAGGAGCAGGTAGTTGATCGTCCCGTCCTGCGGGTTCCGGGTCAGCATCCTCTTCTCGCCTCTCGCTTCTCGCGCACCAGACGCAGACGCAGACGCACCTCGAACTGCTCCTCCAGGCTCGCCGCGCGCGTGACGAGCCGCCCGGGCACCTGCACGACGTCGACCGTGCCGCCCGCGAACCACACGCGGCGCAGCAGCACGCGCCTGTCACACTCCTTTCCATTCTCCTTCTCCTTCCCATTCTCCCTCTCCTTCTCCCTTTCCTTGTTCTTCTCATGCTTATCGTTTTTGTCCTGCGCCGGCACCCTCCCGCTGCGCCCCCGCTCGCCCGCACCCCGCCGCACGACGCCCATGCCCTCCAGCGGGCGCTGACGGGCGGAGCCGTCTGGCGAGCGCAGGTGGGCGGAGTGGTCCGGCGAGCGCAGATGGGCGGAGCCATCCGGCGAGCGCAGACGCGCATGCGAGGAAGAAGGCGCGAGCGTGGGCGGGAGCGGCGGCGCGACGCCGACGTCCGGGCCGAGGATGAGCGCGCCGATGCCCGTCGGGAAGCCGAACATCTTGTAGAAGCTGATCGCGACCGCGTCTACCGGCGTCTGCACCCGTCGTTGTTGTCAGCACACGTCTCACACAGCACACGACATCCACCACAGCACACAGCACACAGCCGCCGGGCGAAGAAGAAGTGCAGAAGAAGAGACGACGGGGCTCACCTTGGTCAAGTCCACCGGCTGCGTGGGCGCGAGCGCGGCCGCATCGAGGAGCGTCGCGAACCCGCGCGCGCGCGCGTGCGCGAGCAGCGCGAGCGGCGGCTTGGCGTTGGTGATGTTCGAGAGGCCCGTGAGCGCGAAGAGCGCGGGCGGCGCGTCTGCGGTGCGGCGGTGCTGCTCCAGCAGCGCCTGCCCGCAGGAAAACAAGTAGCGGTGCGATCAGCGCCAGAGTCACGCAGCGGCACAAGGGAGGAAGGGGGAGGGGGGGGGGAGAGAAGGGAGAAGGGAGAAGGGAGAAGGGATGGAGGACACACCTTCGTCCTGCGCACGTCGACGCCGCCGCGCGGGCCGGCGGGGACGTAGCACACCTGCGCGCCGCGCGCGGCGGCAAACTCGCGGACGCCGTGGACCGAGTTGTGCGCGTCCTCGGGGAGGAGGTACGCGCTGCCGGGCGCGAACGGGAACGACTCGCCGAAGAGCTTGAGCGCGGCGCTCGCGTTCGCGGTGAAGAGCACGGTCGAGCCCGGCGGGCAGTTGAAGAAGCGCAGCACGGTCGCGCGCGCCGAGGCCGTCAGGCGCGTCGAGAGCTGCGAGCTGCGCGTGGGTGGGTGGGTGAGTGAATGAGTGGGGGATTGTGGATGGGAGTGTGGGTGACAGACGCGTACCTGGTGCTGGCGGAGTGCGTGTTGCCGAGCACGGCGCCGCGGAGAAAGTCCATGTGGACGCGCACGAGGCTCTCGGGGTAGAGGGCGCCGCCCATGTAGTCGACGTACGTCTCGCCGGCCGCGTCGACGCGCGCAAACTCGGCGCGGCGGAGCGCGTCGAGCGCCCACGTGTGCGCGTAGGCCGGGTGGTCGTGCAGGAACGCGGCGTAGGCGGCGGCCTGGGCGGGGTCGCGGGCGGCGGGCGGGTGCACGAGGCCGGCGGTGGGCGAGGGCAGGAAGGATGGTGGAGTGGATGTATGCGCGGGGTGGGGAGGGGGGGTGGGTGTATGCGCGTAGTGGGGGGGCGGGGGCACGGGAGGGTGTGCGGGGAGGGGTTTGCGCACGCTGGAGGTGCGGGAGCGGGAGCGGGCGCGGACGCGGTGGACGAGGCTGAGGGCGTGCTTTTCCGAGGCGAAGGTGTCCTGGCTGGTGCTGGTGCGGGTGCTCTCGGTGACGGAGAAGGAGAGCGAGTCCGAGTCGGCGGTGTAGGTGCTCGTGCAGGGGAGGGATATGAACGGGGTCGACTTGTGGTGCTTGAGGGTGCGCGCCGGGTGCTTTTCGTTGTGGGCGACGGTGAGCGGGAGGTTGAGGTGGGAGTGGGAGCGGGCAGAGCGGAGGGGCGGGGCAGAGTCGGTGGGCTGGGAGCGGGAATGGGAGTTGCCCATGGTGGACGGACGAAAGGGAGCGCGAGACTGGGCGGGGGGCGACAAGCATTCGCCGGCGGGGTTATATACGCGCGGGCGTCGCATGGACTCAGTCCCCGCGGCGAAGATCTCAGCCTCGTATTCTGACCGAGTCCTGGCTCTCGGCGGGGTTCTCTGCGTGACACGCGCCCTCGCGTGACAGTCACCCCAGCCCATTCGAGCTCCGCGACGCTGCACGCCAGATCCGGGCGTGCACACCGCCTTCTGCGCCTTCTCTTCTGCCTGCGTCCGCCTCGCTTCGCCTTCCTCTTCGCAATCCCACGTTTCAGACCCGAGAAGCCCTCCTCGCGCCGTCTGCTTTCGTCTCCCGCGGACCTCCCCGCGATGGCGTGCTCGCGGCTCATGCATGCCTGCCCCGCCCGCCCACCGAACAGCCCACAGCACACCCACACGCTCCCAGCCTAGCCTTCTCCACCGCCCCGCTTCCAGCGTCCACGTCCGCCGTGCCCCTCGCATCTCGCCCCGTCCTCGGCCGCGCGCAGCCAATCGCCGCGCCCCAGCACGCGCTTCTATATGCGGACAGGACACGCGCTACGAAACGGCTGCCACTCGACCGCCCCTGAGCGCGACTGCTGACAGCGATCATGACACAGAAGCCCCCCGTCGGCTCGCGCCGCCCGGTCACGGGGCATGCTCCCTTCCCTTCCTGCCGTCACGCCACTGCCTGCCGCCCTGGCTACACAATCGACGCTGCTTCCCGCGTGCCGCACCGCCTGTCGCCCTGCGTCCATTCGAATTCGGTTCGAGAACACGCCGCCGTGCTATCCACGTTCCGCGCCGTGGTCCCCCCACGGAAGAACGAAGAATGCTCCACGTCGCCGCTCGTCGCGGCCAAAGTGGTAACTGCACCCGACCGCGCCCTTTTGTCCGCGCCCCGCCCCGTCCTCGTTCGCCCCGTCATGTCCTCCGTCGATAGCCGCGTGTCCGCGCCTATCACCTATCACCATTACGCCCCGCGCCCCGCGCCGCACGCCCCGGCCGCAACTCCGCCATCATCATCAGTCCTCCGCGCACCCACACCCACGTCCACGTCCACGTCCACACTCGCAGCAACACGCCTCCTTCTCGTGATACTGATACACATACACCACACGACGATACTCAGGCTTCAGAACCAGATCTCATCAGCGCGGTAATTGTGCGCAACAAATGCACGCACATCCCGACCTCACCTCGTCCCCTTTCTCCCACCACCGCATCTGATCCCCATCCCCATCACCCATCATCACCCCCTTCCCGCTTCCCGCTTCTCAGCGCAACACCAACACGGCCCCCGTCCGCGCATCTGATCGCCCTCAGTCTGGGAAGGTTACAGCTTACAACTTACAGCTTACAGAGAACATGCAACATCGGACCCGCGCAGATCATTCCATCAAGACTCCCCTGGGCCGAGATGGGCAGCTGCGAGCCACGCTGCATCCTGCACGCTGCGCGGAACCCCCCGCGCTTCGATCTTGCCGTAGCACGGCACAGCACCCTAGGCACGGTCGCCGTTACGCGTCGCATCGCATCGAACCCTGCGTTCTTCCCTGCAGATCTGTTTCTCCGCGCCCGGATGCCAATAGGAGCACAGACGCGCGGCCGTGAACGCGAGTGGTCTTGTTGTTGTTGTTGTTGTTGTGCAGGCAGGCTGTGTACACGTCCGTCTCGGAACGCGCGTTCCTCACGGCGGGAGCTAATTCGGTAC